TTTTGGAAGTCGTATCATGGTCGCTGAGACTCGAGAGAGATATTCTAAGAGGAATTCCCGAAAAAGATAAACAGAAGCAGACGGAAAAGACCCGTTGGAGAAGAAAAATGGAAGGGGGGTTCTTAAATTGGGACATAACAAGGCATAAAAAGCACCATTTTTCGCCGGTGAGAGCTGAGAAAGAAGAAACAAAGCAATTTTTCCTCTGCCGTGGAATCGTGGTGGATGTGACTACTAAGCTTTCCGTGGCAGATCGATGGGATGGAAATTGCTCCAAAATTTCCACAATTACAGGTCACATCACATGAATTTCTAACTCGCTTTACTGTTCATTTCGTATCATCTCCTTCTCCACACAATTAATTACCAACCCTAACAATTTTCCCTCTCTTGTCCCCCAATTTTTCTTTCTTTTCCAACCCTGTTTCTCAAATCATGTGATTTCTAGTTATAGGCCATGAACAAAACATGAATCATGAATGTTTACATTACTGTTTTTACAATACATGTGGCCGTATTTCTGTGATGTGAGGAAGAAGTAATCTCTCATAATCCTTGAGGATCAAAGATGGTGTTTGTAAGAGCAAAGAAAGAAGGTGAATTGAATTTTCAAGAGAGTAGTTAGGCTTAGAATTCATACTATCAATGTAGTACACCAGACATTTAATATCTTGACATACAGTGGTACTATATGGTACCAGACATTGGTCTTTTCTCGTCTGAATCAGCAGCAGAAATTACCAAATCATGTGCGCCCAAGATGAAATTTTTAGAAAACGTTGGATGTAAAGAGGTGGGGGATGGTGGGCTAGGGCTAAGAGGTTAAAAGAAAATGAGGGAGTAAGGTAAGATAGAAATAGAATAGGGTGGTGTGCGGTGGAGACTTTTTTTGAATTGTTTATGGGGTTGGCAGAGTTGCTGGTTTGTCTGCCTCTTTTGTAGTTTGGCGCCCAAGATGGGGTAAATACAGGCAATGTTAGGTCTTTTCTGTATGTCAAATCTTCCAGTCCATTCTTATTTCCCTTTTCTCCACTGCTTTAGATTTTATCAATCATCCAAATCCACCCCCCTCTCATCATTTTCTGGATCGCTGAATTCGCTTCTTTTCTTTTTTCTTTTTACTTTGCTTTGTTTTATGATCTTTTTTGTAAGAGAGTGTTGATCTTTTCAAGAAAAATACATAAAGGTTGTTTGAGAGATGTTTTTTGAACTTCTTTCTTGCTTTATAGATTAACATAAATTAGGAAAAGTATGTGTAGACTGTAGACAGATAACTTAACGAGTGACTATTTTTAGAATAATTTAAGGTGATGTAATTTGAACCATTTGTTTGTGGATTGTGATTTCAAATTATCACAATCATAGCTACCAGTTTTCATAGCTACCAGTTTTGAAACAAACGCTCTTCCCAAACATGCCACCAGCAATTTAATCTTACTGTAATATCTTGAACATGCCCTCAAAATCGTTTCCTAAACAGAAAATAAAAACCTGTTTTCTTCTTATTGAACCATTTCTAAAACTTAGAAATCAAGGTTAACCTGAGAAAAAATCTCATAACTAAGAAACTCTGTTTCCAACAAAGACCACGTTTGAGATCTTAGTCAAACACACAATTTACATAAACATAATAAAATTATCTTGCTCCCTCTGGCAGTCTGCCACGTTCTCTTTCTGTAGGACCCTGCCTGTTTTGGAGGAGCTTGCTTCATGAAGGGAGGAGGAAGGATGGCAGAGGACAAAAAATATAGTTGACTTAAGGCCTGTCTAATGGGTCATACCAAATCTTCCCTGGCTTCCCCAGCAGCTCTAAGTTTCAAAATCGAAAACCTCCCTCACATGTGAAAGAAGGCACACCACCCTCACACTTGGTGTGATGAATGTACTGCTAGAATGCTTGCTTGCTGCTTACCGAGATAGTAAACCAAAACCAACTGAATTTCCATTTGCCCTGTCCTATGACTTTCACTTTTTGTTCAGAAGGTTGGCCAAGTTACGCAGATCCTCAAAGGCATGCATTGTTTCTGCATCGAAACCCCCTGCAAACTGCAACCGGGAAAGGCAAAACAATCAGTAATAATCCTTGTTTTTGCTTAAGAAAAGTGCAGTGAATGAAATGCTACCTGATGAATCCTAAAGGCAAATCTCACTCCTTGAAGAAGCATGTAATCCATTGCAGGATCTTTCTCTGATGCAGCCTTTGACTGAAGTTCCATTGCTACTCTCTTCATGTACATCTTTGCCAACTTCACTGAACCCAACTTTATCTATAACATAAAGTTCAATTTTGGTTTGTTCATCAAATGCATCATAGATTACGGTTGTTATTAAGAAACTATCCCAGCAATGACAATACTGCATTCTTTTCAACCCTTAAAAGTGCTTTTACAGAGGCTTACGAGATAAGTTGTGAAGTTTTACCTTGCTTATGATCCCATTGTCAAGCATCCAATCAGTGGGAATTTGAAATTCTTTGCAGTTCCGCATCAATGATTCTCTTATCCGGAGAAGGTTATAAATGCTACGTTCCATCCTGATTGCAAAAAGACATATTTTTATCATAATTGATTCAAAGAAAGCAAGCAAATTCAAGAATATGTGAAGTTTCAGATTCTTACTTCTCTGATAAAGCAACCATTTTTTTCAGAGCTATGTCACAAGGCAATCTGGGATCATCTTTGTAGGCTGAGATTTCACACTCCAATTTTTTTAAATCCCTGTACCCAAAGGCTGCTTCTCGCAATGCGTCTGCCTTTCTCTCTGGCCAATCAAAGTGCTTTAGAACTGCCCTTTCGTCCACCTTCAAAAATATTAATCTATCAGAACAAAATAATTTATTCCTAATGTATTGTACACCTTCATATGATTGTCATCCTTGCTTTTCTTTTACGTGCAAATTCTTCTTATTATGTTTAAATCAAATGCACCAAGTTTAAGAGAGAGGAATACCAGAAAGCAAAGTTCATCGTCAAGCCACTTGACAAAAGCCACTATATCTTCAATATCCAGATAAACTGCATTGTTGACCTCTCTTATCAGTGAATTTACAAACTCTCCCTGGGTTTCAATATCTGCCTTTATCTGCAAAAGTATGAAAAAAACATTATTCATGTCTTTCTGGTTAAAGAGCCACAATCAACTTGGAAGTTGATCTGATCGAGTGCTTACAGCAAGCAAATGAGATGATCGATTCTCAATTTCTCCAATCATGCTACTCCGGACATTTGAAACATCTGGAACATTGCATATGGCACCATTGGAGGAATCCTTCCTAGAATCTCTCTTCATCAGTGAATGGTAGAATTCAACCACTTGTGGAGCTCTCTGTACCATTCCCATGGCGCTCCTCACAGCGAACTTTGGAAGAGGAGGGGGCGGAGGTGGGGGCAGAGGTGGTGGGACTTGAGCTCTGTTTTCCTCTTTAGGTTCACTTGAAATGGAGCAAGAAGGCCTCGGCGGGGGATTTGGTATGCGCAATGCTCGTTTCTCCACGTCTAAAGAGGCAAGACTCCTGCTAATTTCATGACAATTTTCCAAAATATGTGGTCTTTGACTCACGCCCAAATCATATTTCTGAGTGGAAAGAGGGTCTGCTTCCTTTTCCATCTCTTTTGCACATATAAAGCCATCAGATTGCCTCCTCTTGTTTGGTTCCAATTCTTCGGGCCAGCCTTTTGCTCCGCTAATGGAGTGTCTTCTTCTGGGGCTTCTTCCTTCCTCCGCATCAGCCCAATTTTTGTCTACTAAAACACCATAATCCGAGCAATCTAAATTAGACAGATCCTCATCAGTAATGGGCCATTTCTTCAACTTTTTAATAAGATTTATCCTCTTAGCACTGTTATAATCCATGTACTCCTTCTGGCTAGATAATGAACCAACGGATTCACTGCTCCTCTCGGTTGCCTGAGGGCTGGATAGGTTATCAGAACTTGCCGAGGGGCACGAATTACGGAGCTCATTCCTTAAACATGAATTGACCCACCTAAGATATGCAAGTTCTTCAACCTCATTCAATCTGCTCATCTGTAGACCTTCAACTTGCTTGCACAAATCTTCATTAGTGTGTCTTAGCAAAGATGCTTCTGCTTTGATCTTAGCAATAGCTTCACTCTAGTAATCAATCAGGTAAATGTTAATTTGTGGTATTGTGAAACAGAGCAATAACTTCACTCTATTAATCAATCAGGTAAATGTTAATTTGTGGTATTGTGAAACAGAGCAATAACTTCACTCTATTAATCAATCAGGTAAATGCTAATTTGTGGTATTGTGAAACAGAGTAAAAACTTTGACCAAAGATCTTATTAAATGTTACCTCGGAATTCTTTGCAAGAGAAGCTAGCTCAGATTCCACCGAAGAAAGCCTGCAAGCGAGGTTCCTCTTCTGAAGCTGGAGTTCCTTATTCAAACGTCTCAACTCAACAACTTCCACTTCTACGTTTTGAGGTGCAGTCTGCGGCTCCTCTTGCTTCTCAGAAATTGATGGTAAAGCCACCAATTGTTCGGACAGAACTCTTCTATCTTCTTCCAATAGACTAACTTTCTGAGTAAGACAGTCTATTTCTGCTTTCTTCTCCTCAAGTTCCCTTTCAAGTTCATAATTTCTAGCATTTCGCTTAAGCTCTGCTAGTTCGTTCTGAAGTTCGAATTCTCTCTGCTTGGATTCGTGGAGCAGACTTCTGAGTTGATCGAGCTCTACGAACAAATCCCGAGAAGATTGTCTGCGGTGATGGGTCTGATACGAGTGTGGATGAACTTGAGCAGGATTTGCAGAGCATGACAAATCCCCAATCAGTGATCGCTTGATGCGAGAATGTGAAGGAACAAATTTGTCCTTCTGATTTGCCAAGTCCGAACTCGTAAGTGGCGCCTTCTTGGGCTGGAGATTGCTCTGAGTCTGAGCTTTGGTTTTCTTGTCTGTGGAGAAACCTTTCACAATATTAGAACCCCAGGAAGAAGCCGCCCTCAATTTCGAGCCCCCATTCCCAGTATTTCCTTTCGCATTCTGATTTTGACACTTGGGATTCTGATTTTGATCGGCAAACCTCGACGATTTGCCTCTGCTTTCTGATGGGTTCTCCTCCTTCATTCTGTATGAACCACCTTAAAAGGAAACCAAAATCGTCCCGTTGGAGAAACTGCCAATGCAAGTAGAATTTCACGACAACCTCTCCAGTTCCATGTCCAAGATACAAACATGAAACATGGGTACGAAACAAAGCTCAGCTCAAATGAAGGGAGGGTGAGCGGGGTTTGTTTTTTGAAAAAAAGAAGCTTCGAACAGTGAGGTGGAGCCAATGAGCGCAGATTATGCCGGCCGGAGAAGGTGTTGTATGTGGGAGCAACTAATTGAGAGCTCCAAATCCAAGAAACATAGGGGACTGGGATTGGGAGAAAAGGTGGCAGCTTTCTCTTTATGGCTTTAGTTTTGAATTTTTGAAATTTGAATTTTGTGCGTCCGTTGGGTAGTACGAGGGAGGGAGGGCAACGGTCATATTATTTCTCTCTCTCTCTCTGGTTTTGGACTTTCTTTATTTAAACTCCACATTAATTTCCAATTTTATAGTTGACCATCAACAGTTAGTTAGTTCTTACGCCTTGTTTTGGACGTATTTAATGAAATTTTGTATAACTTAGCAACTACTCTACTTTGTTCTTTTTTCCTTTATTTTTTTTTTATTTCTTCCTAAATTTATAATAACCCTTTTAGAAATCACAAAGAGTTGACTCATTAATTACAACTTCCAACTCTATGTTAAATTTTAAATTTAGGCTGTCAACTTTAACAAGTGTCTAATAAATCTTTGAATTTTTAATTTCGTGTATAATAGATCTTTAGCTTGTTAGACATTTTAAAAAATTTACAGACTTGTTAGATATGAAAATTCAAGAAACATAAAATTAAAAATTTAGAAATTTATTATATATTATTTAAAAATTAAACATCCATTGGACGAACTTTCAAGTTGAGCTAATATGAGCACAGTACCTTTTCTTTAGAAAAGTTTAGATGTTCAATCTTTCAACCTCACGTTAAAAAATAATAAAAGTTGAATTTTGTGTCGTTAGGGTAACAGCTCTGTCCACATTGGGCCACATAGGCAGCCGAGAGCCCAAATAAATCGAATCAATATGGCTCACTATGGCTCGTGGGTCAAAGTATTATAGGTTTGGGCCCTAAAATAGTTGGGCCAGCCCAGTTCCTTGTACCACCACCATCACAGATTCACAATGTGTTAGAAACTTGCCGTATCGTGCGCAAGCTTTTAATATTCGTTGTATGGTGCATGACTTGCATACCATAAACTGGTGGAACTTAATCAACATAGGATTATTTTACTCAATAATTATTTTATCTACTTATCAAACTAATTATATGATATACCCTCAATATCTCATACCATTAATATATAGTCCATTTTATGTATAAATTATAATATATGATATTGTATTAATGTCTTTGGTTATTATTTGAACATAAATATCCAATTTTTTTCAGATCTGACCTTATTGTTTGTCATGTTGTTTGTTGAATATGGAATTTTTCTTTTATGATGTAAATGTTGGGTCCCTTCCAAACACCTTACTTTTGACTCCTTCCACCGCACCCAAAGCCACCACTTTGAATATTAAATCAACAATATTCTTCTACTCAACCATCCACTTTTTCCTTAAATAAATTTAGCTTGAAAAATTTCAATAACCAAAATTTGACTTTTAAACCCTATACTATAATGAAAACTATATAAATCCATCATCTATAAGTAGAATGTAATTTAAAAAACAAAAATTTTAAAACTCCAACATTTTGAGAGGGATAAATAATGTATTAACTAATGAGGCCAAGTAGATATAAAGGATATTATTTTTGAATGTTGAAAAAAAAAATCTTTAATCATTTACTAAGCTTTAAATTTTAGTTGGCGTCCTATAGAGTATAAGAAACAGTTAATTAATTTTAAAAATTAATTACAATATTAATTTATCGCCTTCACCTTTAAAATCTATTAATCAAAGACAATGGTGATGTTTATTGCCGCAAGACAAAATTAAAATTTAATGGGTTAATTATATGTTAGAAAAAAAAAAGATAAATAACTCAAATAACACTAAATTATGTGTGAATATCCAATTAAGTAAATGTTGTTATTAGTTGAAAAAAAAGTGATAACTTATCTCAAGTTAAGAAATAGTTTCAGATATGAGTCCCACAAAAATAATAATAATAATACATAATGTCTTTAACTATTATCCACTCAAAATAGTTTAAAGTAACTAATCATACATTATATTTTACCAATCTCTTTCAATAATCTCCCATCATATGAGACACGCTGAATAAATAAAGCCACAATCAAAGTTACACATTGATCCATGAATGTTTATGCACGAAATCCACAAGATGAGATTTGAGCGAGCTAAGTTGATCAGCAAGCTAAGTAAAGTACCTATAAGCAAAGAAAAAAGCTAAGTAAAGTACCTATAAGCAAAGAAAATGCACTCTGACGCTCAAGTCAATCTCAAATCCAAATCTTTAGGTCGGTTTCAAACATGACAACATACATGATTAGGTGGAATAAGGGTGGATTAATAGAGACGTAGATGTGATATTCTCATTGCGAGATTTACAGCTTGGATCTCGAAAGTAATTTCAGTTATTGAATCTACTTGAAGCACTCCCGAATGTGTGCGGGGAGATTCTAGTTTGCAGCTTGGGTTAGGCGAGGTGGACGGGCTTTCCCTTCTCAAGATCCAAGTGGGAGACGTCAAGCTCCACAAGTCGACTCCTCAACTCTAGTGACATGTCATAATTTTTTCAACCAACAATGAATTTAAAATTGATAATATCATCCGGATACAAGAAGTATTGGCAATTATCTTCGACTATAAGATTGTAAGTTTGAATCCCCACAAAAAAAAAAAACATCAAAATTTTAAACATTTATTTTACCCCAAATAACAAAGTAAAAAAATCAACATTTATTATTAAGCATGAGATGTTAATTAGGAATCAATCAATTGAAAATCAACATTTATTATTAAGCATGAGATGTTAATTAGGAATCAACAATCAATTGATTGGATCGTGTCAAAAGTGAGTATATCTTTAACTAAAAGGTCGTAAATTCGACCCTACCTCGTATATTGTAAAAAAAAATGCATGGGATCGTAAATAAGATAAATGAGTTTCAGTCATCAATATTGCAAGCAGGCTGCCAAATCAAATAGTATAGAATGACCATTAACCCCACATAAAGGCTGCTCTTATCTCTATAATTATTGGATTGAAACTTTGATTATTATTATTATTATTATTATTATTTTAATATTATAAAAACTTTAGCAATCGGTTGGTCCACACTATGGTTTGATTAAAAAATTACCATAGTTTATGAATTAGGTAGCGATAAAATAATAAATTATATAGATACATTTTTATAATCTCTCAACTTTATTCGACTTTTCTTGTTGATGCAAAATCGTGACAAGAATTAATCAGACATTGGATCAAAAATATTTTAAAAAAGTGTCAATTTGAACTTAGTTCAACGCTATATAAGACATATTGCTTTTTTTGTTAGGATAGGAGATTCAATCTCCATTCTCACATTTTTTGTATTACAAAATGAGTGTATTACAAAACGAGTTTGAAAGGGTGAAAATTGTAATTTATAATTTTAATATCCGATAAAAATATATATATATACTTACTTGTTTATTTATCTTTTTCCTTCATTTTTTAATTCAACAACGTGTGAGTAGAGATTTTTTATTTTTCTCTTGTAGAGAATAAATATGTGCCTTTTAACTATGTCTTAATTTCTTTATTTATTTTATGACAAATATGAAGAAATCTAATAGTTCATTTCAAAACCTTCCAAATTTAATAAAACAAACAACTTTAACTAACTTTTTTTTTTTGTTTGAAAATATTTTCCTATCTTTTTTTAATTAAAAAACAGTTTATTATGTCTAACTCGCCAATAATTATAAAGTCTCAAATCTTATCTATTCAGGTTACTATAGTAGCAATATAGTTGGTTTTAGAAGTATCTGATAAATCCGTCTTAAGCTTATAGTTTAAATAATGTAATGATTCCAATTTATATTTGCTTTAATTAATATTTAAAGTTTAATTCATATATTCTATTTTGATTATGAACTCAAATACTATGATTTTTTTAATTAAGTTAAAAAACCAAATTAAATTTGATATTATATTTTAAAAAGTACTATTACCATGTTAAAATCATGGGTAATTGCAGTGAGCAGCAAAAATAATTCATACATTTCAAAAAATGTTATTAGCTTTTCAAAATTTCAAATATAGCAAAATATTTGAATTTTTATTTTTGGAATTTTTATTATTCCGATTTTACCCTTATGATATCTGATATACACTCAATGTATATACGTATCTGATATAAATCTAATATATATTTGTATATATGATATACATCTAATCTATATATGATATACATTTGATATACATTATCATACGTGCCATGATATACATTATCAGATGTATGTATTATACTTCTAATATATATATCTGATATACCTCTAATTTGCGATATATTAAATATATTTGCAACTGATATACTAAATATAAGGTATTTCAAAATGTTTAATCTTTAGTGGTATATCAATGGTTTAAATTATAGTTTATCATTGCAATTTGTTGATTGATATGCTAATATTATCAATAATGTTGATTACTATATCACTACTACTTATTCTATATTAGTATTAATTAGATACTAAAATATAAGAGATATCAACTGTTTAAATTTATAAAGTATATCAGATTTCTAACTAGTTTTTTTTGGACGTGCATGATCCACATAAACATTTTATACAATAACTTTATATTAAATATATATGTATATATATACATTTTTGCACCAATGTTTTCATATGAAAAAAAAATATTGGATATAATAGTATTATATCAACACACAAGTATCCTAATTATATTAGTAGATATCATGGTTATATAGAGGTATATCAGTGGTAAATCAGAAGCATATTAAGTATATATCAAATACATATCAGTGGTAAATTATATAATCATATATAAGAAGTTATATCAATAGTATATCAATGTTAAATTAAAGACATATAAAGTATATATCACAGATATAAAAATGTTGTATCGGCGTGGTAAATCAATGGTTATCAAACGTATATCAGTAGTAAGCTGTCATATTAGACGTTCAGTAGATATCATAGTTATATCAGAAGTAAATCAATTGTACATTATTATTATATCAGTGGTATATCATAGGTGTATATCAGTAGTCAGATATATTGCATATATATTACAGATGTATATTAGATATATTATAGGGTAAAGTTGTAATTTTAAAATTTGACCTCCATTTTTATTGAAAAAAATGTTATATTTGAAAAAACTAGATGTGGTTGCTATTTTACTTATTTTACAAAATATTTTTACCATATTTGCAACTACTTCTAAAATCATCCCATCTACTAAAAAAATGTTAAAACCATCCGTAGTACACTCGAATGGAAGAGCAAATTAAACACAGTTTGGAGTAAAATTGAAGTAAAGCCATTTGAATCCTTTTTTTTTGCTTTTTTCTTTTTAAGTATAATTGGAACTAGCTGCCAAAACCAATAAAAAACAACTCTCTCTAAAAAAAATTAGTAACAAAAAACAACTATTATTAGTAACTTGTATATATATTTTTTTTAAAGTTGCTTAATGTGTAAAAGATAAATGTGGCCTTGAAAATCAGACCAATTAAGCAACCTAGGATGCATTTATTTGCTTTAGATATAAATAAAGTGACCAATAGAAAATCTTTATTTTCTATGCCCAATCAATAAGGAAGAAGGGAAACATTCACAAAAAATATATTCTAAAAATTCTTAGATTTCTCACCTCGTTAATTTTTAGAATATAAATATTATATATACATATACATACAAGGAACGAGCAAAAAATAAAGGAGACAATTGTTCCTTTCTTACTTAATTGTAATTAAATATATATAAATACTTAAAATTTTGTAGCTTCCTTCTAACTCCTAAATTTTTAAAATTGTAGGATTATATATAAAAAGTTCAATGTAAATTTTTGCTATTCCGTGAGTATATATATTATTAACTTGAGTTAATTAACTGAGTGCATTTTTATAGATTTTTTTTTTTGTTAAAAATGTTTTAAATACTTTTTTGAAAACATTTTTTAAATAAACTTCAACAATATTAATTTTAAATAAGGAAATATTGTGTAATCGTTAAACAAATTCTAGAAATATAAAATTAAAGTTGACATGGAAATTGGAAAATATGACTACTCACACTGTCAATAACGTGCAAATAGAGAATATGGTATAATTAAAATCCAAATGTCAACTGTTATTATTATTTATTTTATTCCTAAAAAAAATGCTGTTTTTTTTTTTCGAAAAATTATTATAACTGACGCCTGCAAAGCTGCCCATTTGCCGCCCCTCAATTATTGCTTCAGGAACACTCTCCAGTCAAACAAATTAAATAATAATTTAGTTCCGTAGTAATTATTTATCTTTGATTCAGAGGTCATCAATTTAAATATCTTACTTATCATCTAAAAATAAATAAATAAAATAACATTTCTTTACCAGTAAAATAGATTAAAAAATTTGTGTCTAACTTTTTTTTATAAATTAAAATGTCCAATAATCCTTGTAGGTTTATATTAACAGTTTTAATTATTATAACTTTAAAATGAAAGTTGACCTAAAACTAAACTTTACTTAAAGAAATAATAATCAATTAAAGGTTTGAATTACTGCATCTTTCAAGTGTTAGCGTATTAGAAGGATAATATTATTATAAGATAAACATAAAATTTGATTTAAAAAATGATATACCATGGAATTTACCTGTTGAGCTGTTAATATTTTTATATATTTTAATTTCATTTTGTAGGAGATAATTTGAAGAAATATGCAAATTATTTAAATATTTGTTAAGATTATTTTTAGAATATAAATTACAATTAATCTCTCTTTCAATTTCAACTTTCCATGGCAGAGACAAAAAAATTGACTTTTGATAACTTCTTCCCTTTTCCAACCTTGTGTGTTAGATCAGATTAATTAAACCTACTTTGATTGATTTATTTTACTATACAAAATTAAATTAACTTCCATTGGCACTAATCTTTCTTTAAACATGATGTTACTTTGGCATAATTTTCAAAAATAGGCACAAATCATTTGGAGTAAAATACATAAATATAAAGAAAATTGTACACTTAATATTGTTATTTATATCGCTTTGCCTTGACAATCACATTTATAGTTTTCCATTTAATTATAATATTAAATTGTAAAATATTTTTAAAAAATAAAATATAATCCAAGTGCACTTTTTTCAAAGTGACATCAAATCTAAGGTAACATCCATTTCCTTGGTATGTTTGGTAATTTTGAGGGACACAAGCCTAATGAATTTGGTAGAGAATTAAATTTCATTTACAAGGGTACCATATTTGGACAATATAATAATGTATCTTTTTTATTTTATTTTTTTAAGGAATAATGTTTTTACGTATTTAACAAAATCTCTTTGTTCTCGTCCCATTTACATATAAAATATTAATTCGTTTAAATATACAAGAATAGTTGAATGAGTCGAAGTGTGTTATTTAGCTCTTAAAAAATGAGATATTTTCAAATCTTTGATAACTAAAAATACCAAGTTAAATTATACATATTTGAATTAAAGTCAAGTAATGTATATTTAATATATTGTAGCATATTCCTAATCTTATTTATAACATAGCGAGCATAGCTAAGTGATAATCACAAATACTTTAAAAGTAGAGGGATACTGGACTATTTTAACCTTAAATTTTCAAAGATTTATTATTATTAATAATCTCTAAAAAAGGGAGAGGAAAAAAAAACCTTAACGGAGAGAGGAAGGGGAGAAGTGGAGCAGGGAATTCGGGGGAGGTGACATGTGAGCGTGTAGATGAGTTCTCCTTCTCACATTGCGCCATCACCGATCATTCGATTCGGAGCCCAACCCATTGCCCATTGCCCATTTCCCAACAGCGACACCCAGATGATTGGAAATCCCCAATTTTGCACTCCAATTTCCCTTTCTTCTTTTCTGTTGAAAGGTCCACGCAAATTTCTCTACCCACCTTCACCTTCCCCTTCTCTTTCTCTCCCACCTTCAAAATTATATACCTCTCCCCTCTCCCCCTCTATGGATGCACCCATTTCTCCCCCTATTTTTCAACGCCCCTCTCCCTCTCCCTCTCCCTCTCCTTCTCTTTTCCGTTTCTTCTCAATCTCATTCTCAATAACGCTCCCACTCTTCCTCCTCTCCTCTTTCTACCTTTCACGTTCCCTTTCTTCCTGCTCGCTACTCAATTCCCACCCCCTTTTTCCCTACGCCTTTATACCCATCTAATTCCCAATTCCCAATCTTTTCATATGCATCAATCTTCAATCTGATTTCCCTTTTGTCCTCAGGTACTACTTCTCTGCGCTCATTCTGTTGTGGCTTCCTCTTTATCCGTTATCTATGCATGCATAACACCTCATTGATTATGTCTCGATGGGATTTGTCAGCCGTGGCCTGGATCTCATCGTTTAAAGTGTCTTTCTTTAATCGTTTCAATGGCTTTTTCTTATATCGTTTCCTATATTGAGATTGACGGGCCCTTCATTTTTCTGGGTTTTTTTCCCCTCGGGAATTCAGGCATTATCTTTTGTAAAATCTGTCGTTTATTTGTCTGAAGACTAGCTGATTTGGTGTTTGGTGTTTGTTTTTTACATTCAGACATGCGTTTTGAATTACCATCGTTTCTACTCTAAGAACTTATAATTTAAATTTAGCCAACTCTGCTAAGTTTATTTCCTTTTTCAAAAAAAAAAAAAAAAAGTTTCTTTTGTAAGTGGTAACTTGCCAGACTTCTATAAGCAACGGGGTTTGGACTATCCTCCTTTTTACCGCTTATGCATTGGACCTTTATGATTGATTATTCTTTTACTTATTTGTTGCAGGCCATCAAAACAAAATAATATCGGAGGTAAGATTCTAGTCGTACTTGGTGACTGAGGTTGCAGGCCAAGAATTGCTCTTTATATATCGTAGGTCCTTGACCTTTAGTTGAAGAGATTGGCAAATGCTAAATTTTGGCAGAGGTAGAACTCAACAAAGGTCCACCAGATCTCTAACTTTCGGAGGTAACTTTTGGAAAAAGAAACTTAGGAAGATGCACATCCATCAAAGCATCATCATTGTCAATATTATGAACTCGACCTTTTAAAATTCATCTATGTTATGAAGTTTTTTTCCCCTCTAAAACAAAAATTCAGCAGGACCCAAGATGGCCTGTTTTCTAGAAGAAGTACTAAAGTTGTTGTTTCTTTGAAACCATGATTTTGTGGATCTAGTGATTTCATATGCACCCTAAACCTCTAAGCAATTTTCAACTTTTGACTTTTAAAATTTTTTTTTTATAGGTATGGATTATTCAGATCCCAAAAAGAAAAACAATTTTGTAGGGAAAATTCTTTTGGCTGCCACTCTTACAGCTTTATGCATCATCATGCTCAAGCAATCACCGGCTTTCAGTACCCCAAGCCAGGTATCTCTTTGAACTTGCGCTTAGATCTTTAGGCTATTAGTTAGCGGTTTACAATAACACATGGCTGCCTGCAGACTGTTCATCGGAACATGTTGACTCTTGACTGTTATAACTTCTGACTTCTTTTAGCACTCTGTTTTTTTTTTCAAAAGAAAAAGGATTATTGGTCACAGTTCTTTAAAAATATTATTTTCTTCAGTTTGCGCTGCGTGAGCCGGGGGTAACTCATGTACTAGTAACAGGAGGTGCTGGGTACATTGGTTCACATGCTACACTAAGACTCCTGAAGGACAATCATCGTGTAACCATAGTGGTATATACCCTGAGAATTCTCAAGTTCACTTTATATGCATTTTTCTTTTTCTCTCTTTCTCCTCTGTTTTAACCATTCTAGATGTTCTCTTATTAACTTAATAGGATAATTTATCACGAGGAAATCTAGGTGCCGTGAAGGTTCTGCAAGAATTATTTCCACAACCTGGGAGGCTTCAATTTATTTATGCCGACTTAGGAGACGCTAAATCGGTACTGTTTTCTTTTCATAATATTCTGTTAAATATTTCTCGAGAACTTTATGATCAACTCTAAAATGAATTGTTTCCTTAACTGATGTTTTCAGGTTAACAAAATATTTTCAGAGAATGCTTTTGATGCTGTCATGCATTTTGCAGCGGTTGCTTATGTTGGTGAGAGTACTGTTGATCCACTTAAGTAAGCATTCTTTCTTGAGAGTGTGTAATAAATTAAGAAGGGCTTCTTTTATTCATTTATTTTATTTTAGTTTTCTTTCATTTTAAACCCCAATACAGTTTCTTTTGATTTATGATAAAAGATTTTGTTCAGTTCTGTACTGGGAATTTGAGATGCCTATACCCTTTTCATTTTGGCCTTAATCACAATTAACAAGAATTTAGATTTACAATTCGACGTGTCTTTGTCACATTATGCTATAGCCCTTTCTCCCAAGAATGGTCTGCATGAAAAAAAAACGAGCATTTCAGTACTTGGTTATAACATTCTTTTGCTTTTTGATGTAGGTATTACCACAATATTACATCAAATACCTTGACAGTTATAGAGGCAATGGCCGCTCATGGTGTGAAGAAATTGATATATTCTAGTACATGTGCCACGTATGGCGAACCGGATAAAATGCCTATCACTGAAGAAACTCCACAAGTATATCACTTGAACCTTCTGTAAATGATTGTATTTTTAAATACCCAAAATTTTGTTCGCAATGGTGAAATTTGAGTCTTTTTTAAGCTTCAACTAATTCAAAGACGATGGTTATTATTGTGGAGAAACTAACGTTTATATGGTTGGATGACTGCAGAACCCTATCAATCCTTATGGGAAAGCCAAGAAGATGGCAGAAGATATCATAAAAGATTTTTCCAAGAACTCAAACATGGCAGTAATGATCTTGCGGTTGGTATTGTTATTTTTTGTTTCAATGAGTAGCCTCTTCCTATTTTTCTTTGGAAGTTTTCTCTGAGTGATATATCTCATCCAATGCATTTTATGTTGGTCTCCTAGCATTAACTTCTCTTTTCTTGGCTTATGAATTGTTCTTTTGTCTACTCTATAAAGTCTATTGTTTTGGTGAGCTCTGATGAGTTATTTCTAATCATAGTGCTGATTCAAAATAAATATAAAATCTTGTGATTAATTTGGACAGCTTTATCTAAAACAATAGTACTGCTGCCAGATCCGTTGATATGACCAAAAATCCTATTTTTATTGCATTTCATTGGATGAGATGATAAACTCTCTATAACACTGGCGTTTAATAAGGTGGTTAACTTGTTGAGTAAAAATGACAAACTCCGGGCACTTTTTTTTTAATTAACTTGGCAATTGTGAAAATTTTATTCTTCTTGAGTTTCATTTTTTTCTAATTATTACCACAGCTCAAGTTTTGTTTCTGGGTATCTTTAAAACCTCAGATACTTCAATGTGATTGGATCCGACCCAGCGGGCAGGTTGGGTGAAGCTCCTAGACCTGAACTTCGAGAGCAGGGACGAATCTCAGGAGCTTGCTTCGATGCAGCTCGAGGCATTATTCCTGGACTTAAGGTATGATATCCCATTCTTTCTCTTCAACTCTAAATTGAAACTGCCTTGCCTTCATACATACAAAGAGAGCAGTAATGAAAATCCTCCTGAGATCTCTTAACAGTAAACAACAAAGTTTTCCTTCCTTTTCATCTCTGTCTGTCTTGAATATTCATTGAAGTTGATACAATGCAGGTTAGAGGAACAGACTACAAGACACACGACGGGACCTGCGTCCGGGATTACATTGATGTAACTGATCTGGTTGACGCTCATGTAAAAGCTCTTGCAAAGGCAGAGGCTGGTAAAGTTGGAATATATAATGTTGGCACTGGAAAAGGTTCGCTCATCTCAAAATATGGAAAAAAAAAAACATTTTGATGAAGTGTGTGATGTCACATCTCATACATGTTTATTGGTCTTTTTATCAGGTAGATCAGTTAAGGAGTTTGTAGAAGCATGCAAGAAGGCAACGGGGACTAATATCAAAGTTGACTATCTCGACCGTCGACCGGGTGATTATGCAGAAGTCTTTAGTGACCCTACAAAGATAAAAAATGAACTTAACTGGACAGCTCAGTACACAGATCTGGAAAAAAGCTTAAAGGTGGCTTGGAGATGGCAAAAGTCACATCTTAATGGCTATGGAAGCTCTTAAATGGGCTCCTCCATGAAAGAGAGAGAGCATTTAATTGTCCATGAAAGAACTTCGGGAGAGGCAGTGAGGTATGAACGTCATCTGTTCTCCTGTTGCTACACTTCAGCAGTTGAATGGAAGCAGAGTGGTGGGGATGGGATATTCTTTGTATCCAAATTTTACCTTTACATGAAGTAACATTCTATGTCCTTACATTATTATGGAGTAGTTATAGGAAACAGCTCTCTTGTCACATGAATTTGAAACGATATAGTTGAAAATAATGGATGCCTGTGCACAGATTGGCCTTCTTTCTCACTTGTTCCCTTGCCATCATCTGTCTGCGCCCTTCCTCAAATGACATAGTTTTACTTTTACAAGGATGTGAAATAAAAACGTAAATTATGCCAATGGAACAATGAAAAATTAGTTTTACTCCAGTTACATACTTGTTGGTTCTAAACGAAGCAAGTGCAGAAATTTCATTATAGATATTTTATAGATTTAAATTTCATTAATCTTGTTATTTATCCAATACTCAACTTAACCAATATAACCAACATATGTTGCTTCAAGTTATGCTCAAGTAGCACTTACTACATAGGCTCAAAGTCACATTATTCATTTTTTTTGAAAAATAAAGATCAAAATTATATGCCTTCACCAATACCTTCCATCAAAAATCTTTTGATGGAAGGTATATGTCTTCACTAATCTTATTATGCTCAAATTGACGAATCAAAATTATCAATTTTATGAAAATGAACATTTAAACCTTATTTATATCGAGGTTTGAAAATGGATGCTACAGCTTGTAGTCCTAGTCCACTGCTAAGTTAAGCACCACCAATGCACCATAGGGAAAGGAACTCCATGTTAATTCAAGCAGTTTGAACTATTCATGCACCCTCTACTACATCATGTTGGGAAAGGTGTTCTCTAATCTTATATAAGCGTATGGTATGGTTGGAGGGTTTTGGAGCTTATCTGAAACTCCATTTGATTTACCCATAAGTCGTGGCATCCAATTTTTTTAATAACCAAGAACACTATCTATTCAGCTACACTGAAATTAAAGCTGAAACAGTGAAGCCTGAAGGATTTCTTATACATCCATCCAATAAACCCATAAGGAATGAAAATGCTAAAGCATTATGTGAAATAATCATGTATCATATAAAGGAAGCTCAGTACAAAAATGACAAGAATCATGCGCAGTAAACTAACTTCTACTGTCAAATTTTTAGTTTGATTCGGTATTTAATAGCCACATAGTTTGAGCAAAATCAACAGCCCCAAATAACAGCAAACAGCCCTTTGAGGGTTGAAGACCGTCGATTAACACTAGCAAACATCGTTCATCTGTTTCTCAAGAAGCAGCAAGGGTCTCTAAGCAATGGATTGAACTGCTCTATCAAAGTTCTCATCAGCAGCCGAGATGCGTTTAACAAGCAAGTGGTCTGGATGTGAAAGTTTCAATTGGCTGAAAATTTATGGCAAGTATGTTAGCTATCATCCAGGTAAGAAGAAAGATAATAATCCAATTTGTGTGTGCATTCAACTGCTCAAGAGGGTTTTATCAATACAGCTAGTTATTCACCATAATAGCAGTACTATAGAAAATACACATCTTTTTTGCAGGAAAACATTTAATATGAAGTTTTGATCATAGCATACCATTCACTTCTTTATAAACTATTTTCAACCCCCAAAAACAACCACTACAAAATGAAAAGGAAACATAAGCCGACCACCACCCATTACCTGAGAAAACGAGAAGTTGATTTTCCAAGGTGAAGACTGCACACGACTAGATTGGCCAGAGTTTCTGGATCTTTTGCATCCTGAGAACACCAAATAAATTTTTAATCTACAGACTACAATTAGAAATTCGTAGAATATATTTGCATCCTTCATCGTCGTGAAAATTTTCAACATGTCTAAAGTTTGATTATATTGGAATTTCATCGTAGAAAACTAGGTTACAAAAGATCCTCGGTCTAGGTTAAATATTTTTTGGGTTGGTCACTCATTTGTGCCAATTTCATCTCGACACCCTTAGACAAGCAGTTTCAGTTATACAATATAAGTGATTAAATGCAGGGTTATCCAATAACTACCTTGTTCAATGCTTCAAGAAGAAGTGTCTCGGCTTCATCAAAGTTTCCCATATGCATGCAGCATACAGCCCTTCCATTCAGAATCAAGCTTGTCATGGGATACTTTTCAGAGAAATCCTGGAAGATGAGATATGCTTCCTGTATCTTTGAACCACCCTGGTCAAACAAAAAAGTGCAGAATAATAAGGCTACATACATCCAAAAGGTCTCATGTTCTGTCCTTCAGAATAAGTTAAAAATAAGCTACAAACCACTGCCAGATTTAACCAAGCATTTGCAAGTTGTGTTAATGTGTGGTCCTCATCAGTCTGTTGCATAACTCTCAGTTGTCTCTCTGCATAATCTGACCTATGCATCTTAAGAAATATTTGAACATTCAGAGCATGCCTGCAAGGAAGATACCAAATCAAATATGCACTTCGAGTCTCACAAATGTCTACTCTAAATTACCTAATTGCATCTACATTAGGCACATAGGATGAAAAAATATGCAGTAAGAAAAAAGAAAAGAGTTAAATGACAAATTTAATCTTTGAAACTTAATGGTGGTCCCTAAACTTTAAAGTTTCAACTATGTTCCTGAACTTTCAATTTTGATTCTAATAAATGCATGTAGTTGACATCTCACATGCCAAGCTGATTGGATTAGCAAATAATGATTTCACACAACATGGCACAAATGAGTAGGTCATCTAGTTAAATAAGGGCATACAAACCAAAGAATGCCAGGAAAGAGAAAACTATTGGGAAATGAAATTCCAGCTGAAAATAAAAATATTTTTCTTTAGATATTGCATCGTAATGTAGCTCCAGCAGCAATGGTTCAGATCTTTTTAATGAAAAGCAAAACTTTCGTTAATGGGCAAAATAGAAAGAAGATATATATGGCTAGATTACTTACAATCTTAAGCATAATTATTGCATATGCACACTTTTCAAGCAATCAATCTCTTCTTGGCAAGACAAGAGAAGGTTTCACCTTTCTAGCGCAATCACATTATCACAAATACCAATGACCAATCTCCCAATAGCCAAAGGTCAAAGTCAAAGAAAATCATAAACCTTGGAAGGCACCCCTGGTTCAAATGTTTGCTTCAAAGGGTTGTGTGTAACTGTTAACATTGGTTCACAAGATATGAAACGATACTGTTTCCCTCCCAAACAAAATCAACAATCAGAAAGAAAGCAAGATAAAGATTATGGAACAGTGACTAAATGGAAGAGAGAGTAAAATGTATGACACTGGTCTACCATCATGGGATTGTAGTTGCAAAATGAGCTGAAGTAGAATTACCAATTCTGTTGAGTGGCGAAGATTTAGATGAGAGATAATAGGGTTTTCATAAAAACAATTGTATTTGGAAATTTTAATCTATGAACAGATACAATACAACAGGATCAAAACCAACCTCGAAGCGGGCAGATAACAACAGAAACTATGCAGATGAAAAAAGTTAATACTTATAAACGGTGGTAAAGCGTTCAAATTAAGCCTTACAATTCCATGGTCCCTCCAGCATTTGTGTGTTTCAGGGCCTCATTATAATCTTGCTCGTGCATGAATATGATTCCAGCAATAAGCCTCAAAGTAGGATTGTTTCCAATAGCTGAATCTGATAACCATTCATGTAGACTTGCAATGGTAGATTCCTACAATATTCAAGAAATTCATCAGTAAAGAAACTTCGATTACCCTGCTCTCATGAATAAGAAAACCATCTCCATTCATTTCTGAACGTCATTTATCGTCCAATACTAGGTGAATACCCGAAATCGTTTAAGTTAGTATGAACTGCTAAACATATTTACACGTTAAGTTACTTTTACTATCCATCCCATTATGCACAGATTTCTATAGTGAAGTACTAAAAACTAAAATTCTATCCATTCATTACCGAAATTATGTTTGGTTCCTCTTCCTCCACACCCACCTCAAAAAAAGGCAGCAAACATCATTAGCCAATCAAATGGAGCTACCAAGGATGAATTCTCAGTAAACGCTTCTTGAGATTTTTAGTACTTCATTCCAGATCAATGTCAAATATAGTGTAAATTCATAAAACGAAGTAACAAATCTAGTTAAAATTTTATGAATTCCAGAGAGAATTTATATCCAAACGAACATAATCGGCTAAAAAGGTTTTAGATCCACGAAAGAAACCTTGTTGTTGGGATCAGAGAGATAAAGAGCGAGCAATTTGACGGCTTGGAGAGGCGTCGCGGCGGATGAGTCGATCTCGTTGATCGCTAGCTGTGAAGTACGCAGAGAGTATCAGATCAAAATTGAAATCAAGCATCAACATAATTTTTTAACCACGCAAACATGAAGGCACAGACCTGGTAGCTGCCAAGGGCAATGTAAGAGCGGAAAACAATGGAATCCCTCTCGACTGCGTCATCGGGGGATAGATTGGGGAGATCACTGTTGTTAATTGCCGCCTGATACGCTCCCAGATAGAAATTATTTCTGAGATTGAACAAGTGATCTGGTGCTGCCATGCTTCACTCTTGCTTCGTCCAAGCTCCTTCTTCTAGATCTGAATCTTGCGGACTCCACAGACGCACACAGAAGACGAACGAAGCAATTGAACGCTTACCCAAATTTTGGGCTTCCGGGTTGATCCAAATATGTATTTTTTTTAATAAATAAATTTGCAAAAAAAATAAATAAAAAAAGAAAAAAAAAATCGTCTCTAACCGCTTTGATCTCCAGTTTTTATTGTAATTTTTTTATTGGGGAAAATCAATTTATACCCTACTGTTTTGTATGTCGAACAAATTAAAATCACAAACTAATCGTATCAACTAAAATCTTAAATTTTCCATCAATTTACTCTCCCTAACACATAATTATACTTCAAAATTCTTAATGCATAATTTTTAAGTAGATTTGTATTAACGAAATATTGTACCAAAGAAAAAGTGACATATTGTAAGAGAGAAGGAATATTTAATTGACTGAGTTGATTTTAATTTTAAAATTTCCATTTTATTAAATTGAAAGACATCCTATCTAAAATTTATTCGAAAGTGTTCAAACTTTACTGAAATCAACAAATAGAAAACAAAATGCTTCTAAAAAAAAAATACAATACATTATACAACCACAAAACCAACCTTCACACAAATATTAGATTAGAATTAAAAATATATATAAGTTAAATTATTTGTCAAAAAAAAAAGAATTGTCAAAGCGAGCATAATTCAACGATTGACATATATCTACAACACTAAAGAGTGTGAGTTCGATCCCACCCCACATGTTATATTAAAAAAAAGATTTTTAATTTTTAATTTAATTTTTGAGGCAAGGGACAAGAGAAATAATACCATAATTATTGTAAAATGAGTTTTTGTTTTTATATTGTAGAATGAGTTTAACTACCTCAGTTAGTGTGCTCCTTTATAATTATTTAAATAATACAAAATTGCATGGCATGTTTATATAATTATGTATATTTCATCTCTATAATTCAATCAACTTATGCTCTCCAAATATACACGTGTTAGGTAAAATAGATTAAAATAAACTTTATGAATGAATATTTTTCATAGACGGAGACAGTAAAAGGAAAATTATGAAAGGTAAAAATTGGAGTATAAGTGGATTTGGACCGGGAATGGTGGGCCGAGCGGAGGAGGCGCTCGGCCCTTGTAAAGAGCAAATTTGAAAGAAAAATATTAGGCTCCAATTTCTAAAACCCTAATTTAGCTTCTTCTCCCCCACTCCCTACTCCCGCTCTCTCTTCTTCTTGCTTTGCTGGGGTTCTTACTGAAAGAAACCCTAGGTCGCATCTCAGGAGAGGGATTTCCAATTCTTCCACAATGTCGATGTCAAAGAGTTCAAAGATGCTCCAGTATATTAATTACCGGATGAGGGTCACCATCCAGGACGGTCGCCAATTGGTTGGCAAGTTCATGGCCTTCGACCGCCACATGAACCTTGTGCTCGGCGACTGTGAAGAGTTTCGTAAGCTTCCCCCGGGTAAGGGTAAGAAGACTAATGAGGAGCGTGACGAGCGTCGTACCCTTGGTCTCGTTCTTCTACGCGGCGAAGAGGTCATTTCCATGACAGTTGAGGGTCCACCGCCTGCTGAAGAGTCCCGTGCTAA